TGTTACACATTTTATAAATATTGATTGAAATGGCATTAGTACTGGGTATTTCCAGGTCCTTGGCTGCCTTGCACTACTGATGAAATGAATAAGTTATGAAGTGATGTGAAAGCAATGTGGCTGTGGCTGCCAGGGGTATTAATAGTCTGTGTAGGAAGACTTGCCACTTTGACACATGATTGTCCTTACTATTCCATAAGATGCAAAGAGCAAAAAAGATATGCAAAGTGTATTATCCTATAGCAACCAGTATTATGTTAGTAAACTATCAATTTGGATTGGCTGCCACTATATTTTACATATAGCTCATTGTTTTACTACATACACCTGCAAGTTTTCTATTTGTTCCACTGTTCTGTTTGATCTAAATGCTGAGATTTTTGTTTTTATGAATTTAAATCTGAACTCCAGGCATGAAAACTTTCACTTTATTATATTCCTTAATAGTCCTAAAAGTTATAAATCCACTTTGTGTGCACCAAATGTCAAACCCAGATAATATCTTATAATACTATCAGTGACATCATCATTGGGCTGCACCTAGCTTATGATGAAATCAGAGCTGTGGGAAGGAACCAGCTGGATCTCCCATTATCTGCAGAAAACTACAGGATGGGGCAGATACAAGACCAAGCTCCCTGCACAAGTAGAGAGCAGCAGTGACTGGCCTTTATTACAAGAAACTCCTGCACAGAGGCAAAGTTTCATGCCAAATCATTGCACAGATCTGGAAGAAATACACAAAGCACACCAGAATTCAAGCACACCAAGAATTCAAGTACACCTCTTGCATTTAGGCACAATTTACTATCCTGGAGTTCAGAATTAAATGGTTATACCTGAATTGTTGGAATTTAAAGAAATCAGGCAGCTATGCATGAAAATATTTAAGTGAGTCAAAAATGGTTGACTTAGTGATTCTCCTCATGTATTGCTTCTCAGAAGAGACTGGCATTTCTTATTCAAGAACTGAGCTTGAGTCAATAAGGCCATGGGCCCTCTGGCATTTGCTACCTTTACTGCTTCTACTGTACTATGTGATTGGCTATGGGCCTTACACAGTTGTAGTTATTTTGTGACTGACAGACAATGATCAATTAAGTAATGATAAATATAATTGTTTATCATTACTGCAAAACTACTCTGCTACAAAATCCTAGTCTGTATGTGGTTCTCAAATACTGTAGAATAGAAATGTGCAGACACAAACTAGAATGTTCATTACTCAAGATGCACATATTAAACCACAAATATACAGTAAATGCCAGTCTGTGAAAATTATAAATGTTTTGTGCAACGTGGTTTAACCACTTGAAGTCCGTGGTATTACACCCCCTTCCTGTCCAGGCCATTTTTCAGTATTCAGCGCTGCAGTACTTTGACTGACATTCATTCCGTCATGCAACGCTGTACTGAAATGAATTGTATACCATTTTTTAGGGACAGATAGAGCTTTCTTTTGGTGTTATTAAATCACCACTGGGGTTTTTATTTTTTACTATATTAAGGAAAATTACAATTATATTTGCACAAATTTAAAAAAAAAACAGTTTCCCCTATATTAAATGATAAAATATTTATTATTATCCAATTTTTTCTAAAATATAAGAGACAGGATCACATCGGGTAAATAGACACCAAACATGTCAAGACTTAAAATTGCGTGCGCAAAACCTAAAAAACTACAATACCCAAAATTGGCTATACGCGACGCTTTAAAAGCTTTTACAGCTCATCAGTTTAGTGTTATCAGTGATTGATGGCCCTAGAATGATTGCTCTCACTCCGACGTTCACGACAATATGTAACATGTGTAGCCCAATTGTCATTTTTGCGCATCAAGCGTTTATATGTGCTTAAATGTGGGGGTGGGGGACTTAAAAATGTGTTTTGTTTTTTTTACTTTTTTATATGTGACTTTTTTAAATGTTTTTTACACTTTTGTTATTGCTATTGCTATCACATAGAGGGCTAACAATCCACCTATATAATAGCAAAGGCACACTGACAGGTTCTCTTTATGGAGACATTAGGGGTCTCCAAGACCCCTAATGTCACCTGGGGACCCCAAAAGAAGTTGATGAAGCAGAGATCTGCTTCATCAGCTTTTTCTCTCTGGCTATAGCAGCCAGATGACTGACAGGTGAATGCAGAAGTGATGTAATACACATTACTTCTGCATTTAGACCTCAGAGGGAGTTAGCAAGGAGGAAGATGCTGATCTCCCTCCCATCTATCCTCCTGATGCCCTCCCAAGCCGGTCCCGGGCCGCAAATGGGCTAGCAGATCCCGGGATTGAAGGTGAGGGGTCAGGAGGGGGGCAGCAGCGGCGGCACTCGAGGGGGGGTCGCAAAGACAGCACATACATACAATCGGCAGGCTATAGAGCCGCCTATCGTATGTATATCAAACAGCCGGTAACAGCTGTAAAGAAAAGGCGTGTTTTTTCTGCCCACGTGCGCGCTAAGGGGCGCGCACGAGCAACCCGCAAATGTGAGTCTGTCGTTTGTCCGTTTTTTCTCAACGGGCGGACGGCAGGAGGTTAAAGAAAACACATTTGCATATACTGTACATAATTTTTTTTTGAAAGAGGAATTCCTGTCCAAAAGAGAAACATTTTGATCTTATTTCTAATGGCAGACCTCTTCAGATCCCTAGTAAATGTTTTTATTTAGTCATGTTATTATAACACTGATGCTGTACATAGATACACACTACTCAGTCATACATACACATCTCTCTGTCAGAGCTACAAACTACAAATACAAATATATATTTTTTGATGGGAAGTGATTTAACCACCCAGCATATTTTTGGACTGTGAGAAGAACAAGAGTAACTAGAGGAAATCCATGTCAGCATAAGAAGACTATATAAACTCCATGCAGAAATTGTTTTTGTGAGAATCAAACAGACAACCATATTACAGCAGTGCAAGGATCGCCACCTAGTTACCTATTGAAATTCTACAACATTGTTTCCTTAGGCCATAGACAGAGAGAAGGCAGAGAAAAGCAAGAGACCAACAATAATCTCTACATGTGTCTCAATTTCTGTCACTTGGAGGGTAAATACGCAAAAAAAACTCCCTTGCTACGCAAACATTGGCAAGTTTGACATGCTAATGATCAGGAAGGGTGGCCATAAACAGCTTTTATTTTTCTTAATTCTTCCATGAGTGTATCACTGATAGAAGCAATTTTTCTCAAATGTGTATTTATTTTATAGAAAGTTACTATTATTATAGAGAGTTGTTAAAGAGCGTTTTTAAAATTGCATTGGCTTTAAATTATGAAGTTGTTTACCTTGGTTTATTGTATGAAGATGGTTCATAGCAGTTTTCTAAATGAATGTTGTGTTTTCCATAGATTTGATGTAGATTTAACAGAACTGCATAGTTGGATGACCCGCTCTGAAGCTGTTCTGCAAAGCCCTGAATTTGCAATACTTCGGAAGGAAGGAAACCTCTCAGACCTCACAAAGAAAGTTAAAGTAAGTCATTTTACGTATGTTACACAATGATGTTTATAACATCACACATTTTTTTTTTTTTTGCAATAATTTTTTTATTTATGCGTCAAGGCCGGAGTATTCGCTCTGCGTGAACGGTTGCGGGTATTGTTGTAACTCCTTCTCATCTCTGATCTCCAACCGTTCACAGAGTTATGCCACTATTTAGGCAGGTAGTGGAGCACCGAATACGTATCTAGCTCTTGAGGTTCGTGTCCGGGTGTAGTGGAGCCAGGTTAGATTGCGGCCATCTTGGTTGGCTGCTCACTAGCGCCCCCAACATCACACATTTTAAGTTGGAATGATTTTTGTAAATACAGTATTATTTCTTCTGCAGGCCATAGACAGAGAGAAGCCAGAGAAGAACAGAAAGCTTCAAGAGGCCAACAGGAATGTCCAGGCACTTACTGAACAGATGCTGAATGGTAATTAATGAAAGTAAATTTAGATACTTGCATTTTTGAAATATATATTTTTTTTAAAAACTGATGTCATTATTGTATACATAACCGCAAAAACAACATTTCACTGGTGATAACAAATTGTCACGGTAGTGGTAGATGGAAGTGTTTGGAATGCTCAACCAGGTATTGTATATCCCAGGGAGACACTTCTGGTCTGTGATCTAAACCATTATAATTCTAGTGCATAGCAGCTGTAATTAGAGTTGAACTATGCTCAATGTAGTAAAGTCTACCAAGCACTGCTCAAAGAAAAAAGCAAACGAGGACGTGCACAGACATTGACAATTAGTCAGTATAGAGACTATACACTTTAAAAACAAGTTAGACATGACAGCTCCCATATTTGCTTCCACATCGGTTCACTTTAACAATATCCATTTGCTGTGAAAAGCCAACCTAACTAATTTACTTTTATTTCTAGGGTCACTGAATATCCCTTGATTAAGACACAAGGGATGGAGTGGCTGGGATAAAAATGCTGCATTTAGATAAGGAATACTCTGTTCAGTACAAGTGAGATGGTTCTTCCCTGGTTATCTGTACCACATCAAATGTGCAAGGTTTTTACAAAGCAAATGTAGTTTGTATTCACTTTACACATGTTTAGGTGTATCTGGCAGACATCATTTTGAATTGGAGGATATGCATGTCATCTTTGTAGAATATACTGTATACAGTATATATATCTATAGAGATATATATCTATATAGCTATATAGATATATATCTCTATAGATATATATATTATCACTCATTGGGTATGATTTACTAAGACAATTTTTTACTCAGCTTAGTGTAGTTGTATATATAGTCATCCAATTACGTGCAAAGAAGAAGCCTATTTTATTACCTTTTGAGTAGCTTTGGTTTGGATGTCCCCAGTGAGTGCAGGTTTCTTGGCTAGTTAAAATATTTACTTTTGTAAATCATCCTCTAAGACTTCTTTCTCTGTCTTATCTGTCAAGCTCATATAATTTAGCCCCTGTTTACTTTTCTGTTTCAGTTTAGCAGTGTTTAAACTATTGTAAATAACTAAACAAAACTGCCCCACCAGTAACATCAGTGATACCTGCAAAGAAAGGGAGGATACAAATCCAGTTTGAGGAAATATGTTTTTTTGACAGTGATTAAAAATGACAATGCAATAAAACTGGCAGAAATAATATTTCAGTGATACAAACAGCCAGTCAGAATTATTAGAAAACAAAACTTGGAAAGCCAGATGTGATAAAATATATGGAAATATCATTGCATTATTGTTGAGAAAAATGCAGGATCCAATCTATCAAAACTCAGCTGTAAATTTACTAAAAGTGTTCAAGGACTGTGATGAAAAATGTGTGGGAGTTTCAGCCAACCCAACAATTTAAGAGTTCCCAAAACAGATAGAGACCTTTACGTAGTAGCAGAACTGTAAGCATGCTATGGACATTTAAAAGAGAACCACAGCCAAACCTTTTTTGGCTTTAGTTCTCATATGGGTCACAGGAATACATTTACTAATGTACTCCTGTGACCTAAAGTCAGCATCTAGTGGGCTACTGCCCACTAGATGATGACAGCGCAGAGCCGCACTGCAGCCGGGAAAGATCACAATAATATTGTTGGGATCCACCCCGCTGCCTGATTGATAGCTGTCACTGCCTCTATAGAGCCAGAACCAGCTATGCCCGCCCCTGTCTGTACTTCCGATGAGTGCTGGAGGAACAGACAGAGGGGAGGGGGAATCCCTGAGTGGAGCTGTGACTGACAGTTACTGATCTCTGCACGAAGAAGCCGCGAGCTGAGTGATTAGCGGTTTGTGAATACTTAGTCCTCGAGGCTGCATGTGACAGCTGTAGTGTCACACACCAGCTCTAACTATTGGGAAGAGTACATTTTACTCTCCCAATAGTTCTCCTTTAAATACTTACATATTGTTAACAATCAGTAAATGCGCTTTAAAATAATTAATCACTGACTACTGTAATTACATCTACTGTAGAGCAATTCATCCTCAAATTTCACAGGAGATGCAATGAGGTAATGCAAGCCAGAACTCAGAACTTTTTTCTCCCCTTTATGTGCATCTGCTTTGTGTTTACATTAGATATTAGAAGTTTGGTGTACTATGAACTCACTGGTAGGAGGTGAGGACAAAATGAACTAAGCTGCTGAAATTAAAGTACGTTGTACTGTATATTTTGTGGGTGATTAACTCCACAGTACAGAGTGCATCCAGGGACAATCATCTATATGGCTCCACAGTACAGAGTGCATCCAGGGACAATCATCTATATGGCTCCACAGTACAGAGTGCATCCAGGGACAATCATCTATATGGCTCCACAGTACAGAGTGCATCCAGGGACAATCATCTATATGGAAACCACGGGTTATCGTTCCATGAAAGATTATATGTGGACTTACATTGACAGATGTGACCTCCATGTCTGTAATTTACTCAAATGGGCAGGTTGCTGCATCTGTTTGGACGCACCTGGGATTTCTGCCACAAGTATCCACCATAGGTTCTTGCTGCAGGAATCCCCAAGCGCACATAATAGGCCCATGCTAATGTAACTTTAAGGTATGTGCATGTAGCTTTTGCAATCCAGTGCATATCCAGTGCAGGGAATTCAAAACCTACTTGAAGCAGAAAAATTGCAGGTCTGAAGGATGTCAACTGCAGGTTCAATGTCCCTGTCAATGAACTCTGAATGCTCTCAGAAGCATCTCAAACTCATGTCAAACTGATGCTATCAATACAAGCCTGAAACCCATTAACACAGGCCCAATTTTTTTTTTTTAAATAAAACATTATTTTTAATTAATGTGTTTATATTTGTTGATTTGTTGTGAAGGGTCCAGGTAGGAGTCCACTTTGCATCTATCAAAGTGTACTTTTCTTTTAAACAGCGATGCTACCATTTCCATTAGTGTGTAGGGTTTGCAGGAGAATATATTCAATTTCTGCACTGTAATAAATCCTGAGCTACCGGTATGTTTATGAGTGCCACTATTATTTGCTCTTAATCTTGCTGTTTATCTGCTCGTTAAGCTATTTTTCTCACTTGCATAAAACTTAATATAACCGTAATAACTTGTAAACTAAATGTACCAGATCCTACAATACATATCATCATTTAGCACTGTGTGATATTTTTCTATGTAAATATCCTAGCCACATGAATACTGAATTAGCCTCTTAAATGAGTGGCTTTTAAAATTGAATGTTCTATGAGCAAAGGATAATCAAATCTTTCCAACATTTGTTTTAGTTATGGTTTCCTTTTAGGTGTCATTAATGGCATCATCTTCTGAGTAGCAGCATACAAATTGAGGCCATTCTTCTACGGTTGCCCTGGTTAATGGCAAGTGCCCTTGACAGTTTTGCCTGTACAAGTGCCATTTCAAATGTACTACGGTGGTATGATTAAAGGATATTTTCACCTAATATATTATGCAGTCTTGTACAGTGTGCAGAAGACAATTAAATGCATATATGCACTTTAAGTAATGACCCATATCCTTTGGGAACAACATGTTTATCAGTTCAATATTTTACCAGCATGTTAAATGTATAATGTAACTGGATTATCCTTGTCTTTGTAGCCACTTATCATGTGATGCTCCTTGCTAGTCTTTCAGTCTTCTGTCAGTCATGATGCAAAGGTGGGGGGTAGGCACAGTCACATCTCTTGTTGACTTTTAGTAATGTTAAAGATGGCCAGAGCAAGAAAACAGTGCCTGCTGAGTATCTGAATTAGGAAATCAGCTAGTCTGCATATTAGCTGATTAGCAACATAAAAACTAATACACCACTAACCAACTGAAGTTCTGCAGCACACAGTATCGCTGCAATCGGCTTAAGGACTTTGTGCACTGTGAAGCTGGGAAACGGTCAGTGAGTCTGGAGTTTGTACTGTCATAGGTATCTGTAGCCCTTAACGCTCTCTCCCATGTGAGCTGTCAAAGGTATAAAATCTTTGAAACGCTTTAAAGTGACTGGTGCCCAACCTTACACTTGCATCCCACAAATGGCTAAGAACTTACCTCTAGTTGAAATCTCAGCCCGCCCTGCATCTAGGGATTATGAGGTACTACATTATTGGCACCAATTATGACAAAGTGAAAATGTCCATATAAAGTGAACAGCCTGTTTGCCTTAAGTAAATGAACCACTATGTATTGGGTTCAAAGTTAAGACAGAAGCTGTCCAGAAGATGCCTTCACATATCTTCCAGTCCTGTGCATGTTCTTACAGAAATTGAAAGTCAAAACTCTGCACAGGGTCAATCAAGCCCTTTCCTGACCAATTGACAGTGAATGTGCCTGGTGATTAGTGTCTCAGTCAATTTACACAAATCCATTTTGGAGAATGGCTAGGTTTCCCTTTAAAGTCTGTTATGCTTTTTTAGAAAACATCAGTTGTTGCCTATAAATATCATATATATACACTTTGAAGATCTTAACAAATTGATTATAATGATATGATTTTTTTCCTAGATGGCCTTAATGCAGACAACATCAAACAATCATCTCAACATTTGAACAGCCGGTGGACAGACTTCTGTCAGTTACTGAGTGAGAGACTTTCTTGGCTGGAATATCAAAATAGCATCATTGCCTTTTACTCCCAGTTACAACAATTGGAACAGACAGCAATTACAGCTGAAAACTGGCTAAAAGCACAAAGTATAACAGCCTCCGAGGCAGAAGCAGTCAAAACACAGTTACAAAAATGCAAGGTGAGAGAAATTACTTGCTGTTGCACAGAATTTGCATAAATGTCACACAAAGAGTGCACTTTTACAAATGGTTTAAAGGTAAAAGTTATGTACTTTAATCATCAAATATAAGACACAGAGTTTTCTGTTCTTAATGTCCTTGTCTAATTCCTAAATTATTACTTTTTTCACTTTCACTAGGGAACTACCCTGGGATAGATTTCTGAGTAGCAGGGGAGCTGCCAGGAGAGCACCAAGTGTTTACCACACATTGTACTGCTGACCATCATTAACACATTCTCATGTAGATTAAAATGTTTCAGAGTGCTGCCATGCCTACCGGTGCCCTCCGATTTAGATCCTTATTGTTGTAGCATTTGTGTTTTCACCGATGGAATAGTGCTCTTATAGTTTTCCCATTCTAGTTTTGTAATAAAAAAAAAACTGAGCTGGTAACAGAGTATAGAAACACTTTACACTAATCTTCTAGTACTAGTGATTGACAGCAGCAGAGGGTGGGTGCAATAGCTAGTTTGCTATTGGCTATTGCAAAGTGAAATAGCCAATAGGAATCTAGCTATGCATTCCTATGGTGTTTTTTTTTTCATTCTGACGTCAGCAGAACCGCCCTGGCAATAGAAAACAGTTGGGTGGAGCTAGCTGTCACTGCTATCTCCGCCCAATCGTTTTCTATTTTATTTTTTCTACTTTTTTAACTGTTTTTCTATTCTGCCCGGTACCACAGAGGCACCAAGCAAAATAGCCGAGCCGAATGCCGCTCGGCAGCATTCAGCTATTCACTCACTGCTGTTCGCCATCTATGAGAATAGACCGAACAACAGCGAGTAGCCTGCCGCAGGTTCGGCTCAGCCGATCCAGACGTTGGATCGGCTGAGTCGAACTCCTTCTGCACTTCGGGTTGGCCGAACATGCTGAGCATCTTCGGCCGACCCGAAGCCACACAAAGCAAGCCGATGTACGGCTGATTTCAGCTGATAAATGGCTGGAATCAGCCGCACAAGCCTGAAGTAAATAGCTGAACAGTGTTTCGGCTCACTACGCTTCGGGTCGGTTGTTCACTCGGCTGCCTACGGCAGCTTGGTGAATAGACCCGTTAATTTTGCCTGTAAATAAAATTTGTATAGGCATAACAGCTTAATTTTGGTTTGTTCTATTACAGTTTAGATAAAACAGTCCTATATGTACTGCCTATATGTACTGGAATCACGGGAGTTAGTCTACCCCTTCTAGTAGCTAGTATTTTAGGGTGAGATGGAACCAGATCTTTTTCACATATACATTTTATACAGTCAGCAAGTGTTCCACACTAAGTCATCTGGCAGAATGTAAGGTTGGAATATTAGCATAATGCATAGCTCCCTTTGTTTCAAGATACATTTTTAAGCTCTGTGATACAAGAAGGGATTGAAGTTACATCAATTCATAATCTTTAATAATGTGTGCAGTATGACTCATCATGCAGATATTGATTAAACAACAGAACTTTGGTTATGAATAGGTCAGTGTGTAATAGATTTAGCCACATGAATATGGACATTAGGTGTTGTTTCCAGTCTTATAAAATATGCCAGGAACAATATAAGAAGTCACACCAGTGCTGCACCTATGTAACACTCATTTAAAAAAAAACAGATACCTGTTGGCTTCCAAAATAACAATCTAGCTATCCTGATTATTGACCAACTAACCAAATTTGGATTTCCCTTACACTTTCAGTGACAATGGTCACAGGAAGAAATATAGAGGGCAAATCTCCCTAGCAGGAGAATGTTACAGAGACTCTAACCCGAGTCCATCAAAAACTAAATAACAATGTTTTGGCTATACATATACTTTAGGGTTGATTTACTAAAGGCACATATCATCTTTACTTTGCAAGGGAATTTGCCCTTGCACTTAGTTTAGTGAATGAGGGGAAGCTCTGCTGACTCATCACACAATCATGCAGACATTCCTTGCTGGCACACAGGATCGCCTGTGCAGCTCTCATTCATTTCATCTTGGTTGCTCTATGATGATTATTTCTTGTTTTTTGAAAGTTTGCCAACTACTCTTGTGAGTATCATTTCTAATTTTTGCCACTTCTTAATAAAATCCATCTACACTAGGGTAGCTGCCCCTTGTTTTTGTTCTCTTCAAAGATATCACAGTCTACCTGGCTGAAGTGGGGCAGCGACCTATAGAACTCCTACATGTGAATCCCTCAGTGGAGCGGTCTTTTCTGGCGCTTTTTTCATATTTTGCTTCATCACATAATTATGTTCAAGAGAAAATACTGTTTTGTTTTTTTAATTTTCCTTGCATATGATTATGTATTCTTTGCAAAGTGAAGTTTCACCACATTCACTAAGCTAAGTAAACTTCCCCTGCAAAGTGCAAATTCCCTTGCAAAGTGAACAGCCTATTTGCCTTTCATAAACCTACCCCTTAGTCTTAAGGGGAAAATGCCAAGAGGGAAATATAGGCAGTACAACCATTGCCAACTTTGTTGTACTGTAATCAGTCTGAGCCATCCTTCAGTGCTTTGTGACAGGTATGTCCATAGCTGATGATCATGATAACCCCAGAGACTGAACCTTCAATAACAAGTAAACATGGCTTCATTCATATTCCTTATTTAAATGTTCTCTTTAACATTCACATTTACTTGATTCTAACCAGTATTTAGAGGAAACCAGTGTTAGGGAAGGAGCGAAGTCCCCCTGTTTGCTGGATTGGAACCCAATAGCAGGGAACAATCCCAGAAGGAGAGTCCAGGCTGAGGTACAAGAAAGGATAATCCAAAATGCGTTGTCAGAGTACAGTCCGGGTCGAGGCAGGCAGCGAGTATCATAAACGGTGAGGCAAGCCAGGGGTCGATAACCAGGAGATCCGAATAGCAGGGAAGGGAGGCAGGAAACAGGAATTGAGGCGTTGTAGCTGCTTATGGAATGGCAGAATAACTCAGCAACAAGTCTTGGCTCTGGCTGGAATTTAAACCCAGCAGGGGCCAGCGACGCCCCCGTTGTCTGTGCAACAGGAAGTCACAGGTCCCTGCGAACCAATGGGACAGCTGGGAGAGAAGGAGTGCTTGCAAGGCCCTCCCCGGCAATGACCAGCACCCGAAGCAACTAAGAAGCCATGGCATTGCCACATGCGCACGCACGCACGTCATGCATGCGCTCATGTGCACACATGCAGCACGCCGCCGGGCACCAATTCACCCCAAGAAGGACCCTACGATCTCCGTCGCACCCGCCGGACCCCAGGTAAGAGGGCACCCCTGGTCCCACGACAAAACCATTCTTTAAGAAAGCTATTGTTTATAGCTCATGTTGTTCTTTACACTGCTAAATTTTTCAAACAAGGATGCCTTGCACTTCATTTTTGTTGCTTATTATTGCTTATTGTCCCAAGCACAGCTAAGTTTTATTGTTCTGCAAAGGAGCTGGTAGTGTCAGCTGTATTTCCTGAAAATGGACAAAATAATGGTTGAAGCAATCAGTTGTATGACATAGCTGTGGATTGTTTTACAGTTTGGTATAAACTTTAAGTTATAGCACTTTCATGAAGTTCACGATCGGTGGCACTGATCCAGTCAAGGAAACATAATGGTAAGATAACTTTGGCAGGTAGTCTGCTGTATTTTTTTCCAAAAGCTCTGCAATGCTTGTAAAAATACTTTACATACAACTTTGTTACTCACTTAGGTACAGTGAGGCATACAAAAACTAGTGTGGGAGATACAAACCTCCAGTAGGAATTACATGATAAAGAATCAGAATATGAATATAATCATATTTGAATCTGTTTAATATAGTAGATAGGATGTCTAGCTAATCTAATAAGACAGAGGAGTGTAACAGCATGTACAAACTGCAGAAATCATAGTAGTCAATCAGGTCTTAGTTTACTCTAGATGGATCAATCAAACATGTAATATGATTAGTTGATATTGATTGTTATACTTTGTTCTGTCATTGTACTAATACCTGGAAGAACACTAAGAAAATGTCAATGCATATGCCATATTTCTTATTTTGAGGAAATGCAACTAAAAACTCCTAAGCCACACAGCTGAAATTATATACTGACTCAGAACATTACTTTTTTCTCATGCTATTTATAAAAAAAGTTGTCATACAACAGCAGTTATTTTGCCAGTGTAATAGGTTGCCGATGATATAAATGATCTAGCTCCCTTTATTTATATGACACCATCAATGTACACTGTTGTGCTTTACATATTGTTCATTTACATCAATCCCTTCCCTCAAGGAGTTTACATTCTAAGGTACCTGTAACACCACACATACTAGGGCCAATCTAGACATGAGCCAATTACCCTACCATTATGTCTTTGGAGTGTGAGAGGAAATGAGAGTACCTGATGAAATCCCACACAATCACACAAAAAGAACATGCAGATAGTGGCCTGGCCAGGATTCAAACCAACCCCCCCCCCCCTCTCCCACCCAGTTCTGAGAGGCAAAAGTGCTAAATATTGAGCCACTGGGCTGTGTTTCTGACAGGGCTTGAAGCAATGACATGAAAATGGTTTTGAAATACTGAAAATTATTGTCCAGCTTTCCATTTTATTTAAAGCAGAAGTTCAGAGATAGTTACATAGTTATACACACGCTAACATATAATTATTCTCAAACCCCATATGATGTGTGTAGTTATTTTAATGTGTAAAAAATATCCCAAATAAAATAGGGTTAAAGCAATAGATAGCCTATACTATGGGGTTCCAAGCAAGGTGAACCTGCTTGCAAAATATCTTGTCCCGGTTTGCTTTAAACTGGAACTTAAAGGAGAACTATGGGGTTATGGCTTTTCCCCATAGTTCTCCTAAGGGTAACGGGAGGACAGAAACTAGTGTCCTCCCGTCACCCAAAGCTCAGCATACCGCGAGCTGCAGCTCGCGGTATACTGAGACACCGCAGCTGGAACGATCCCGACAATTATGTCTGGATCCACCCAGCTGCGTGAGTGACAGCTGGCTCTGCCTATCTAGA